GGTTTAGGGTTGGTTTAGGGTCGGTTTAGGGTTGGTTTAGGGTTGGTTTAGGGTCGGTTTAGGGTTGGTTTAGGGTCGGTTTAGGGTTGGTTTAGGGTCGGTTTACGGTTGGTTTAGAGGTCTGTGGCTGCAGGAAAGGCTGGGGAGGTTCATGAAAAAGTGATTGGTGGTTTCAGGAAAGACTGGACGGTTTCAGGAAAGGTTGTGTTTTTTCAGGAGGTGCCGGGTGGTTTCAGAAAAGGCTGAGCGAGGCTGGGTGGTTTCACGGAAGTGTGTATGGATTCAGGAAAGGAGGTGCCGGGTGGCTTCAGGAAAGACTAGGTGGTTTCAGGAGAGGCTGTGTGGCTTCAGGCTGGGTGGTTGTTTCAGGAAGTGGTTTCAGGAGAGGTTGGGTGGTGTCAGGAAAGTCTGGGGTGGTTCCAGGAAAAGCTGTGTGGTTTCAGGAAAAGCTGCGTGGTTTCAGGAAAGGCTGCGTGGTTTCAGGAGGTGTCGCGTGGTTTCCGGCGAGGCTGTGGGGTTTCACGAAAGTGTGTGTCGCATATGATGTTGGAAGTCTGATGGTTAAGTTTTGATTTAGGTGAGGTTTAGGGTTTGTTTAAGGCTCCCTTAGGGTTGATTTAGGTGTGGTTTTAGGTTTGGTTTAGGTTTGGTTTTAGGATGTTTTAGGTTTGGTTTAGGTGGTTTTAGAGGTCGGTTTAGGGTTGGTTTAGGGTTGGTTTAGAGGTCTGTGGTTGCCAGGAAAGGCTGGGGCGGTTCGTGAAAGAGTGATTGGTGGTTTCAGGAAAGACTGGACGGTTTCAGGAAAGGCTGTGTGGTTTCAGGAGGTGCTGGGTGGTTTCAGAAAAGGCTGAGCGAGGCTGTGTGGTTTCACGGAAGTGTGTATGAATTTTGGAAAGGAGGTGCCGGGTGGTTTCAGGAAAGACTAGATAGTTTCAGCAGAGGCTGTGTGGCTTCAGGCTGGGTGGTTGTTTCAGGAAGTGGTTTCAGGAGAGGTTTGTTGGTGTCAGGAAAGTCTGGGGTGGTTCTAGGAAAAGCTGCGTGGTCTCAGGAAAAGCTGCGTGGTTTCAGGAAAGGCTGCGTGGTTTCAGGAGGTGTCGCGCGGTTTCCGGCGAGGCTGTGGGGTTTCACGAAAGTGTGTGTCGCATATGATGTTGGAAGTCTGATGGTTAAGGGTTGATTTAGGTGTGGTTTTAGGTTTGGTTTAGGTTTGGTTTTAGGATGTTTTAGGTTTGGTTTAGGTTGTTTTAGAGGTTGTTGGTTTAGGGTTGATTTAGGGTTGGTTTACGTTCGGTTTAGGGTTGGTTTAGGGTGGTTTTAGGGTTGTTTGAGGGTTGGTTTGGGTTGGTTTTGGATTGGTTTAGGGTTGGTTTAGGTCGGTTTAGGGTCGGTTTAGGGTCGGTTTAGGGTTGGTTTAGGGTTGGTTTAGGGTTGGTTTAGGGTTGGTTTAGGGTCCGTTTAGGGTCGGTTTAGGGTCGGTTTAGGGTCGGTTTAGGGTTGGTTTAGGGTTGGTTTAGGGTTGGTTTAGGGTTGGTTTAGGGTTGGTTTAGGTGGTTTAGGGTTGGTTTAGGGTTGGTTTAGGGTTGGTTTAGGGTTGGTTTAGGGTTGGTTTAGGGTTGGTTTAGGGTCGGTTTAGGGTCGGTTTAGGGTTGGTTTGGGCTTGGTTTAGGGTTTGTTTGGGGTCGGTTTAGGGTTGGTTTAGAGGTCTGTGGTTGCCAGGAAAGGCTGGGCCGGTTCATGAAAGAGTGATTGGTGGTTTCAGGAAAGACTAGGTGGTTTCGGGAGAGGCTGTGTGGCTTCAGGCTGGGTGGTTGTTTCAAGAAGTGGTTTCAGGAGAGGTTTGTTGGTGTCAGGAAAGTCTGGGGTGTTTCCAGGAAAAGCTGCGTGGTTTCAGGAAAGGCTGCGTGGTTTCAGGAAAGGCTGCGTGGTTTCAGGAGGTGTCGTGAGGTTTCCGGCGAGGCTGTGGGGTTTCACGAAAGTGTGTGTCGCATATGATGTTGGAAGTCTGATGGTTCAGGGTTGATTTAGGTGAGGTTTAGGGTTTGTTTAAGGCTCCCTTTGGGTTGATTTAGGTGTGGTTTTAGGTTTGGTTTAGGTTTGGTTTTAGGATGTTTTAGGTTTGGTTTAGGTGGTTTTAGAGGTTGTTTTAGAGGTTGTTTTAGGGTCGGTTTAGGGTTGGTTTAGGGTTGGTTTAGGGTTGGTTTAGGGTCGGTTTAGGGTCCGTTTAGGGTGGTTTTAGGGTGGTTTCAGCGTTGTTTGAGGGTTGGTTTGGGTTGGTTTAGGATTGGTTTAGGGTCGGTTTAGGGTCGGTTTAGGGTCGGTTTAGGGTTGGTTTAGGGTTGGTTTAGGGTTGGTTTAGGGTCGGTTTAGGGTCGGTTTCGGGTCGGTTTAGGGTTGGTTTAGGGTTGGTTTAGGGTTGGTTTAGGGTTGGTTTAGGGTCGGTTTCGGGTCGGTTTCGGGTCGGTTTAGGGTCGGTTTAGGGTTGGTTTAGGGTTGGTTTAGGGTTGGTTTAGGATTGGTTTAGGGTTGGTTTAGGGTCGGTTTAGGGTTGGTTTAGGGTTGGTTTAGGGTCGGTTTAGGGTTGGTTTAGGGTCGGTTTAGGGTTGGTTTAGGGTCGGTTTACGGTTGGTTTAGAGGTCTGTGGCTGCAGGAAAGGCTGGGGAGGTTCATGAAAGAGTGATTGGTGGTTTCAGGAAAGACTGGACGGTTTCAGGAGGTGCCGGGTGGTTTCAGAAAAGGCTGAGCGAGGCTGTGTGGTTTCACGGAAGTGTGTATGGATTCAGGAAAGGAGGTGCCGGGTGGCTTCAGGAAAGACTAGGTGGTTTCAGGAGAGGCTGTGTGGCTTCAGGCTGGGTGGTTGTTTCAGGAAGTGGTTTCAGGAGAGGTTGGGTGGTGTCAGGAAAGTCTGGGGTGGTTCCAGGAAAACTGCGTGGTTTCAGGAAAGGCTGCGTGGTTTCAGGAAAGGCTGCGTGGTTTCAGGAGGTGTCGCGTGGTTTCCGGCGAGGCTGTGGGGTTTCACGAAAGTGTGTGTCGCACATGATGTTGGAAGTCTGATGGTTCAGGGTTGATTTAGGTGAGGTTTAGGGTTTGTTTAAGGCTCCCTTGGGGTTGATTTAGGTGTGGTTTTAGGTTTGGTTTAGGTTTGGTTTTAGGATGTTTTAGGTTTGGTTTAGGTTTGGTTTAGGGTTGGTTTTCGGTTTGGTTTTGGTCAGGTTTAGGGCCAGCTTCGGGGGTTCATTCGGGGTTCATTTGGGGTTAGGTTTGGGTTGGGGGGCGGCAGCCCCCCCCATGATGTTGGGAAGGGGATGTTGGGAAGGGTGATGATTCAAACAAAGGTACGCTTAATCTAAAAACACAGCGGGGGGTCGGGGGGGCGGCGGCCGCCCCCATGATGTTGGGAAGTACGGGAAGCCCAATCAGGAAAGGCCGGGTGGTTTCAGGAGGTGCCGGGTGGTTTTAGGAAGACTGGGTTGTTTTAGGAAAGGCTGCGTGGTTTCAGGCAACGTTGGGGGGGGGGGGGGGTTCATGCAAGATTGGTTGGTGGTTTCAGGAGAGGCTTTGAGGTTTCAGGAGGTGCCGGGTGGTTTCAGGAAGACTGTGTGGTTTCCGGCGAGGCTGTTTGGTTTCAGGATAGGCGGGGTTTCAAAACAACTATTAAGCTTCCTGAACACATGTTTCCGGAAACTTGCGGGTATTCATTTCGACCTTCTCGGGGTTGCTGACCCGTCGTCGGCTCGGGGTACCCGACCCAACCGGCACCGACGTCCTGAGGGCTTTGACATGGACCGCGCGCTCAGCCGGGAGCTGGGCGCGAGTTTCTCTTGGCCAGAGCCGCCCTGGGCTGGGCGGTGCTGATCATGGCCATGACGGACGGCCACTTCGAATGCCGAGTGGGCCGTGGTTTGCGTTCCATCTTGCGTGGACCCCAGGTGTTGAGTCATTGGGCCCGTCATGCGCCGACCTTGCGTGCCTCGGCTCCGCTGCATCATCAGCGTTGACCACATGCCTCGAAGGGGGTTTTTGCCCCAGCTTGACGTGCAGCTCCGTGATGCTTCTTGCGGTTTGCAGGTTGTCTTTCCAGGCGCGCCATTCCAGCAAGTCAGTGAACAGTTTCCGTCGGTGAAGTCCCAGATTCTTGGTGGCTTCCGGGCCGATTCAACACCTTCCCGCGTGCTCTTTGCCCTCCCTTCGTGGCACTTGGCAGGGCTTTGATGGTCTTTTCTATCCGGACGGGTGTTGCACCCTGACGACCTGCCAATTACCAGCGTGTCCTGCAGCGCAGCAGAACAGTTGATGGGAGCTGTTGTGGAAGAGCTGTAGCACCGACCTTCCTTTCTGGCCACGGCTGCGCCATAGACAATCTTGACGCCCCAGCATCTGCCAATTTATTTTTTTGCCCGCCTCCCTTTGGCCATGGCTTCCTTTTTTTGGGGTTCCCTGTGATTTGAGGCACTCAGCAGTGTGCTGTGACCCTTCCCTTTGCCCTGCGGCAGAGCTGGCTCAGTTTGTGTCAGTTCCCACGCGGTGGCCTTCCAAGCATCGCTCCCTGGGCCAACATGTTCGAGATTCTCGCTGGCCCTTTGTTCCACCAAAATGCCGTTTCTGCTCAGACTTCTTCATTTAGCACCTTCCCCTTCCACGGGTAATTACCCCATTTTGTATTTGTCCCTTTCGGGACCACTGCCTCAGGTGCCCCTTCACCTGGCGGCGTCGCGTGAGCAAAAAAGTGTCCTTTTTTGCAGAGGGTCTAAGTCTGGTCAAGCTTTTGGGGCCAAGAGCAGGACCCTTGCTTCATACCACCCAGCCCCTTTTTTGCGCAGCGGTTGCTTCCCTCTTGCTGGGCAGTTGGAGATGGATCCTGTCGTCATCGGAAATACACGGGATCTATGCTCAACCCATCGCCACCTGGGCTTCTTCTTTTGATTTGCCTCGCTTCCTCAGCTGGACCGAGTCACTTTTCGGGTTTGAACCATTGACCAAAAGGTGTTCTTAACTTCTTCTCCATGGATTCGCCTGGGCTTTTTCAGTCTCTGGACTCTTCTCTTTCGTTTTTTCCTATCCCAACCCGGACCGCGGGTGATTTTTTTTCGTGGGATCCAAGGCTCTGCGGCTTGATGCCCCCGAGCTGCGGCAGCTGCCGGGTCTTCGGCTCGGAGCGACCAGAGGAGGCGTAGCCCACCCCCCCACCACCCGCCTCCCCCCCGCCACCCATCTCCACACTCGCCCAAGACTCGTGGTGTTTCTGCTGCTGTTAGTAGGTGGTTCTGAAAGTTGGGGTTTCAAAGGCGGCTGCGAACTTGAAGTGGGCAAGCTGGTAGAGTCGAACATGAGTGGGCTTTGATCGCTGCTTGCTTCAGAAGCTGTAGCAAGTAATTATTGTGTGGTACCTTTTCTGGCGGCCAGCAACCCGACACTTGAAGTAGTTATTTTGAAGCGACAGGGACCAAAAACGGGCATGTGTTTGCCAACCCACCCGCACAAACGGACTGGAACAACCCCTAAATGGTTGGGCATAAACTCGCCATGTCAAGGATGTCCACCAAAGAAATCCTCGTCGAGATGCATGCAGACTTGGCAGTGTCTTTTTGAGCTTGTTACAGAGGGATCCACACGAACCTTGCCCTTTTGGTGGTTCCCAATAATAGGAGGGTGCAGCACTCAAAAGTGATGCAGGTTCAATTGAAATGGGGCTCCCCCGATTTATCCACCAGGTGTTACTAAAAAAGATCAACAACTATCAACATGTTTGTTGGAAAAGAAAAACGAGATTTGCCGGTACAGACATCACATTGGCTGTATTTCTGCCCGAGGGCCTTTCTTTAGACCCCGAGCAGTTTGGCAACACACTTGCTCGTCGAGAAAGCAAGCATAATGTTGTTAGTTGTGGACCCCCTCGCCGTTGCTTAGGGCGTACCACTTGGCAAAAACTGCTTAAGCCTTCAGTTGGCAAGTTCCTGCAGTCTCCGGTTGGTCAACTCAGCAGTGCGTGAAGATGACTTTGGCAGGCTGACTTCAGCCAAGTTGGCGAAAGACCTGAGTGAAATTTTCTGGATCCTGAAACTGGTGACTCTTCAGAACCCACACCCTGAGCGTTGCACGGGGTTCCTCACAGGATAATTTGGGCCATCTTCAAAACCACCCAAATACCGTTTTCAGAGGGTTTCTACATGTACCAGGTGATTTGCAGGTTCATGTCGGCTAAGGCATGTACTCTGCTCTGAGGGCAAGCCTACGGCTTTGTGAGGTCGGCTTGCACGCCAGGTGCAGAGACTCCTGGGCGTGTGCCCGCAGCACGACGTGCTCTGGGACGAGCTCACCTGCGAGGCAGAAACAAATGGAAACTGCGCGTGGCTTCTGTTTTATTCTATACCCTTTTTGCAGGGGTCCGTATTTGAGAGTTTCTAGGGGTTGTCAAAGTCAGAAATAAAGTTGTTTCCCTTCAACCCACCACTTAGGGGGTGACTTTGACCATGGTAGAATAATAAGGCCAGTCTTGCGGTCACTCGAAACAGGAGCTACGCCAGTGACCCACAGCTTTTCCGCAACCTTGGCCGGGCTGGCTGCAAACTGGTACCGACAAAGCGCTTGGTGCCTGGTGAATGGAACTGTTTTCTCTTTGAACAGCAACGTGCTTCGTTGATACTTTGCTAAAAGTGAGCAACTTTTAGTGGGACACGTCATGAATCCCTCGAAAATCAAAACAAGCGAAAGTGCTCCAAAAGGTCCAAGGGTAAGTCGTAAATCCATGAACATCTCTTCCAAGCGTTGAATACTTGTAGTGGAACCTCAAAATCATAAGCCCTTCGAGGCTTCCAACCGTCCTTGTTGGATCTACTAGATCCCTCTCAACTTGCATTAAGGCTCCCATCTCTTCCTTGTAAGTCCTTTAGACCGCCCACCCCCCGAAAGAAAAGGACAACAACAACAAAAAAAAAAAAACAACAAGACGCCTTCTTGGGCATGTCTGGTTGGACCTCGCCCCTGGCGCGTTTTGAAACGCCGCCCAATTAGACGTCTCCATTCGATCGCGTTATCGCCGCGAGGAGCACCTGCAGCTCTTCGCGGGCTTTAAGGGCGTGCCCAAAGAGGCGCGGCGAAACGGGGAGCCACAAATTTGGCAGGGTCCACCTATGGCCGTGGTGGTCAAAACCGGTCCATGGGATCCCATTTCGGGGGGTGAATTCATCACCCATTTTAGGCTTCCGGTTTTAGCGGTTGGATTGGTTGATGTTCACTGGGGGCTAACCGATTTGGATTTTGACCCACCGGGTCAAGATTCGGTCCCTTGATTCCTTCATCTGGGTGTGTCTTGTTTAAGGTTCGACACCCGAACATGATGGGCGTCCTTTTGGTTCCCCTTAAGACTTTGAAATGTGTTCGGGTGACAGTTGAAATTGCCTCCCCACCATGTTCTTTTTGGGAGGGGGGTCACATTTGTTGGGTGCAACTTGTTTTCGGGGAAGCCACACACTTGATTTGCGGCAAAGCTGCATTTTTGGGCGGAACATCGCCATTTGTTTCGTGTAAAGCCCATTTTGTGTTTGGGGGGAGTCCCAATTTGTTATTTGGGGAAATCACAGTTTGTTGGGTACTTTGGGTAGAACATCATCATTTGTTGAGGGGAACACCCCCCCCGTCCCATGTGTTTGGCAAATTCACAAACTGTGTTGGAGACATCTCCTACTTGCTTGGAGGGGCGTGAAGTTGAGGACCAACATTCCCGGTGGATTCAATCAGGCCCAAGAAAGACACGGGGGTTTGGATCTTGATACACGGCCTTCTTGGGACACACAAAAAGCCCTCCTACCTTGGCGGTTCCCATAGGGTGTTGTGGGCACTAGAAGCTATTTTTTTTGCAGGGGATCTGCGGAGAGCTCGGCTGGTTCGCAAGGGCCCCACCAAGATTGATCAGAAGGTTCCTTCCCTCTGTTTCTTTTCACAGAGGAAAAAAAACAAAAACAATTCCGATGCGCCATAGGGAGGAAAAAAGGCTGGCGAACGGACGGGAGTTGGATAACATCAGCATGGTTCTGGTTGTGATGGATTGGGGCAAAACCAGGGGGGACCACAACCTGCAGAGTAACCTGGGTAACCAGCGGTTTCTTGTGAGGTCCAGGTCCCACCAGTGTTCCTGGATTGTTTTCTAGGTTGCTTTGCAAGGCTGAACCCATATTTCCAAGAGGGCCGACTACTCATGAACCTGCAAAGGGGGCTGTTTGGAGGGATCCGAATTACTGTTGCTGGGAACACCCCACTCTATAAATCCAACAGGCTGATTCCGGGTCATAGGGGTCACATAGATGGTTTGTTATGGGGGCCTGGAATCTCTTTAGATGTTTTGTTCGCATGTTTAAGATTCGCTAAATATCAATTAGAATGAAACATGTGATCTTTGGGGGCAAAGTCTGAGTTAGGCCCCTTACCAAGGGGCTCAAAAAGCCGCACATCGGGTGCAGACCCCCCTAACGCCTTGCGTTACGCAATCCTTTTAGAATCAAGCTCTAACTGGAAAGCCAACCCTAAGCCCAAAACAAGCAGTGTTCATCAAAAAGGCAGTGTTGGAGTCTCTTGCGGATTGGCTTTTCCACTTTCTGGGAACTCCCCTGGCTAACCAATGGTACCATTTTTGGGGTAGGTGCAGCACCCATTGTAGTCCATTGGGATGTTCACTGGGGGTACGGGATTTTGACCCGTGGTTATGTGTTGGCGAGCTGCAGAAACACCCGTGGCTTGCAGATAGTTTGGGAGACGCTTGAAGCTCCACATGTCCCCGCCGTCGCTGATCAAAGAACCAACTGGCCGTTTGCCGGTTGGTAAGCACAGCGCGGATTGCAGCTAAAGGCGCTGCAGCCGTAGCTTGTGGGCAGCCAAAGGAACCACACCCTTGTGGGGTTTTGCTGCTTTCGCAATGCCTTGCCTTGAAACCAAAGCTAAAGGAGCAATGTCCCCGGCCGACCTCTCTTCCAGTGTTATCAGGGACCCTCTGCCGCAGTCAACAAGCACTGCTCTTCGAAAAAGGCACGGTGGCGGCTCCCTTCAAATTCCTTCACTTGGAAACAAGCATCCGTTAAACGTTGTTTCCCGGACAAGGTGGAGCACTTTCTGAAGACTCAACCTCGAATTGGGGACCCCCAACAACAAACAATATATTCTAGGTCCCCCAGTAGTGCCCGGGAAGGGTTCCCCTACTAAAATAAACTGCAGAAAAAGGGAACCCTTATTCTAACCTCTCTACTGGAGGACCTAGTATTTGTCCAGGTGGATGCGCTGAAGCCGCACACAGCGGGAAACACCCCATGAACCTTGCAGAACGTGTCACATCACCTGTGCCCGTCGGGATGTGCAGTCTGGGTCGGGGTGGTCTTGCCTTTGTTGGAGGTGCCTCTTTTTTGGGTTGGTTCAAACGCAAGCCGAAGGGAACGCGGTGGATCCTTATTTCCGCTTTGTGGATTTGAATCATTTGCAAAGCTTTGCAGCCTCGCCATTTCAGGCAGTTGCGGAGGAGGTGGCGACCATGCTGGAGCGCGTGGGCCTTGCCAAGGCTCGGCGTTTCGGAAGCCCAACCTCGGGTTTCAAGTGGAGTGAGGTTGCATCTGCGTATTGTCTGGGGGGATTCAAGCACCACTTTTTGGCATTTCAAGATAGAGCTGTCTATTGGTGGTGGTGGTGGTGGTGGTGGTGGTGGTGGTGGTGGTGGTGGTGGTGGTGGTGGTGGTGGTTGTGTGTGTGTGTAAAAGGGACATATAGGCCATGTAAGGAACCCTGTGCAAACCCGGACTTCTAGGGCTCATGTCTATGATACCAAGGGGCACAGCTTGAACATCACGTTCGGGGTGAAGAACAATGCCAGCAACTTTGAAGTTCCTTTCTGATGCTATGTTTTATTGCAGTTTATGCTGTACTATCGTTTTTGTTTTTTTCATGCTCTTCCATTTGTTTAGTTGTATTGTGTTTTATATTCTGCTTTATGGTGTTACTTGTACTCCCGCCGCTGGCACGTCGAACACCGGGCTTTGTGCACCGCTGCCACTTGGCAGGCGGGCGCGGGCAGAGTCCGGGCTGGAAAGCTGAGCGGCGGAATGAAGCGGAAACTGAGCCTAGGCCAGGCCTCGGATTCGCCCGCCGTAGGGGTCCTTTTGATCGGTGAGTTGGGATAGAAATGGATGGGTTCCACTGGTTTTGGTTGGTTTTATTCCATTTGCCGGGGCCGTCTATTTTACCAAAAGCACAACTATGTAGCCCATCCTATTGGCTGGTCCCCTTCAAAAGTGGTCTGAGTTCCCAGTAAACCCAGGGACCCATCAATTCATAATATTGGGTTGATTAATTTGGAGTTGACGTTAGGGAAGATACCCAAAGCCGTCTTGTGGGACTGGTTTGTAGTTCGGGGACTCCAAGGCTGCTCTTTACGTGGATAATCTGAGATTCTAATGTCTGAGCACACCCTACCACACCGGTTCCTCAAGGCCGACTTCTATGATACCAGGGCAACTCCCTTGTGCAGAATTCGTTTGGAAGAGCTCCCATTGATGATGCCCCTGCCACATTGCGGATCATGAAGGGAACGTGAGCACCTTTCAATTAACCGTGAATTACGCGGTTGAGATGGTTGGCTTGCTTGCAATCTGGGCAGATATGCTCCCTGACGTGGAGGAGCGTGGTCTTCCAGTGACCCCCAGATAGGTTCCATGTGGGAAGATGGCTCGCCAGACTCTTGCTTTCGCCATAGGTCAAAAGAACGTGTTCGCCCGTCTGGGAGTACTCTTCAAGCCCACAACAATCCCAGCTACAAACCAGGGCCTTTCCGTTTGCCAAGACTCTGACTATAGTGAACCTAGGGATCCCCCAAAGGAAACCGCAAGGGACGGTTTATGGGGTCATTCCCTCATTCCCTGAGAGCTATCAAGAAGCCATGTGAACGAACCAAGCAATCAAAGGAATAAATGGGGTTGTGCCTTGTTGGGATGGTACCCGTTTCAAATTTGAAACAAGTGGAAGCCAACAGGAACCATGCCGTTTTTTCGGGCTTCTATTCGATTTTGACACACACACACACCCATGACCAGATGTAAGCCTCACACAAGAGGTGCTACATGCAGTTCAGGGAGCATTCTGGAGGTGTCGACCACACTCTGAATCTGTCTTTGAAATTTAGGCGGTTGCCCTTGAAATCAACCCCAAACAGGGCACCCCCCAAAGAAACAGGTCCATCTTCTGGAGATTTGGACCAAAGCTCGATGCACGCCTTGACTAGGTCCCTCAATAGTGCCCTTTTACCCTTTTTAGGGGAGGGTCCCCCTACTAAAATAGACAAAACAGAAAAACAACTCGGGTACCAACTTCTTCCAACCTCTCAAATCTGGAGGACCTAGTCTTGGGTCCCCTGAGGTAGCGCCATGGAGTTCTCAAAAGGGGTGGAAACCCTTGAAGCCACCTCTTTTAGAAGTTGCGCAGCACCTAGTTGACGCGTTTTGTTGCTGAGCCATCTCCATGGTCGCACGGGCTAGCGGCGAGGCATCGCCTTCCTGGGTGGCTCGCGCCTGGTGGTGCTGGACGAGCCCACGAGCGGCCTGGAGGGGCCCAGCTTCTTTTTTTTGGTTTTGGGGACCCGGGAGTGTCTACCCAAAACAGTAAGTTTAATATTTGACATGCTTCAGACATATTTAACAACTTTGAACATATTTTAACTTTGATCTAAATATTATTGCTGCCATGGGGCGCCATGCATGTACGGCCCAAGGGTTTTGCGTCCTAGAAACCATCTCCAGGATGGATTCTTCGGAAATGACCCGCCCAACAGTTAACATTGGAACCTGACAGGCCCTGTCCGGTTCCATGTTAATTGGTGGGAGGGTGGCCAACCCATAAAACAAAGCAGCAAGTTGCGCTATGTTTTTTTCTACCCTTCGAGGTTAAGGTTGGTGTCAAGCAGTTTTTTTTTTTTTTTTTTTTTAGGCACTTGTCGTGACTCGGCGGCTTGGCTCCAGATTCTGTCTTCAAACGGCTTGTCGTGTTTGCCCGTAGGCGTCTCATATTGTGTTTTTAATTTGCCTTCTGGCGTTTGGTTGCATCAACTAGTTGATCCCCTTTTTTTTGTGGCTTTGTTGGCTTCCGGCCTGTTCGAACCGCTGATTCGCTTTTTGTTTGGTTTCAGGCCTGATTTTGCTGCCTGTTCGCCTTTGAGAATTCGGAGCATTTGGTGGATATATTCCATTTTGAGACAAGCACACATTTGAGGGACCCCCGTTTTGGGTGTAGAGAACCTTTCGAAGGGGTCAATTGATTTCTGACTGAATCGTAGTAGCCATGTGGCTTAAAATTAAAGAGGTAGCGGCGTAACCGCGGGTTTTAGACGTTGGTTCCATTTGCGGTGCCACCTTGGTACACATGTTTGAGCAGTCAGCTACCGCCTTGTAGGAGCCCAGGGCATCTTTACAGTCTTCCACACTCCAGCGACCAACGCTCAATGAACCCACAAACACAGGGTTCAAGCGTGATATATGGTACGTGGCATTCAGCCTTTGATTGAAAGTTGGTTGTGTGTCAGAACAATGGGCCCATCAAGGCTTGACCGTTAGACATGTCCGATCAGTATGGGACACAAAGGCCTACATAGGTACTGCTGACCCCAGATCAGTAAGTCGGGGGGGGGAGTCCCTGTCAATCAGATTGCTCCGGAAATGAACATGGAATACCAAAAGGGAGTCCCGCATATTGAGATTCCTCGAGCCAGATGTGTTTTGGGGTTCCACCTTGATCTGCAGGGGAGTAATCTTGATTTGGAGGAGGTTCCCTTCAATGTGAATTCACCAAGAAGCGATGCCCATTTTTGTGTCCGTGTCAAATCCACTGGAGGTTTTTGGTATTTTCAACCAGTTCAACTGCCAACCTTGTTTGGTCCCACGAAACACCCTTGGGTTCAGGGTTGTTCCTTCTTCAAGTTGATGAACCACTCAAACATATTTTGAGCCGAACGAGTCCAATGTTGGTTCCCAAGCGAGCGGTTTCAAAATTCCCCCCTTTTGGGGAGTCCTAATCAAGTTGGCATCCCTGAACTCCGGTTGTTGGGAGCCCGAATCAACTGGGAACTGGTGGTGACCCCGTTTTCGCCCGCGCGACAACCATCGAAGCCGCGGAGAGGATCCCTTTTCCCGGCGCGCGGTCTGGGAGTTGTTGCGGTCCATGAAGCAGGGCCGCGTCACGGCCGCGGCCCCGGAGCTGCCGAAGTGGCCTGCGGGCCGGGCCTGAAGCGCCGAAGTGGCCCTTTACTTGATTGCTATTGGGTTGGATCTTTAGACTCTAACTTTTTGGGAAACCAAGGGTTGTTCATTAAACTTCACAAAAGGTTAAACTTCTTGCAGAGGCTTCAACAGCAACCAAGTTTAGACGCCGAAATGGTCGCGGATTTCTTGGGTTCCCGGAGGCGGCACGGAGTTCGCGAAACGGGAACCCTTGAACATGGTTGTTGTTGGGAAACATGATTGACAGTTTTGCTTATTGTGGTTTAGTGGGAAGTCCCCACTGAACTGCCTTTTTTATTATTATTTGTTGCTCCCCTTCCAATGCTAACCAAGTGAAGCCGCCTTTTAACATGTTACGCGGGGCAATTCTGCGACACTCTCTTTTGGACCCATGTTGCCGGGTTTGGGGGGAAATGGTTAATTAAACACTGGCTCGGTAGCATGCCCATGCAACGGCAATGGAAGGACGTACTCCGTTCGATAATTTTCCCCATGTCCAGGAATCCATATTTGTGGAAGCTCGAGCGCCTGTGCGATGGTCTGCGCCGTTTACTTGGCGTCAGCAGGATGACCATCAACGACTAGCGATTTGACGCCAGAATTGTAGGGCTCTACCCTCCCTTCGACTAACATGGCACCTGACAGGGGGCCCCGCAAATGGAAATTTATCTTCCAGGTACCCTTCCACAAGTGCCATGTTCGTGGCAGGGAGGGTATATATTTCCCTGAACCAGACCCCCTCCCCGGCGTCTATCCCATCGTTTGTCAAGTGATCTTTGGTCGGTTTTTGGGCCATTTGACAGCCATTGGAGGGGCCTGAAAAAGGTCGCTCATTGGGAGTGTCGTTTTTTTTGGGGGAACCCCCCCAAAAAGAAGAAGAACTGAACATAAAAGAAAGAAAGCTGTTTTCCTCTTGGTGTCCCTTTCAAATCCCAAAAAGCGGATGCTCCGGTCAAAACTATCTTTTCCCCTCAAGCCTATTACGCATGGTCAAACCCATTATGAATATCAGGGTTTTTGCGCAACCATTGTAGGGCTTTGTTGTGTTTTTTGGTGGCACTGATTGCAGTTTCCGTGCGAGGTGCTTTCAACTCACTACATGGACGAGGCCGGAAAGACCAGAAAGCCGAGTAATAGGCGAGATGGGCCAAACATGTTTGACTCAAATGCTCACTCTTTATATTGGTTTGACAGGGCATGGTTTGAACCAAGTCACGTAGAACAGTTCTGAGTTTCCTGTGTGAATGATGTTTACCAACCTTCAGTTCCACCCAACCAACCCAACCATAACATATAAGGCGGCCTATTGAGGAACATCATGACCCACAGAGCTGGAATTAAATGACTGTGGTACGTTCGTTGTTGGGATAGTAGACGCAGGATACATCAGTCTAGGTCTGGAGTCTGAGTATGTCGCTTTTCTTCCGCTTGGCCAACCGTTGGTTTCGCCGCAATGGGTGATTCAGCCAGCAAGCCAAGCCACTTATAAGTCGAGGAGTTGACCCTGTTCCTGGGCTGTTTGGTCTCCAAGACTTTTTTGGAGCGTCAGAAGATAGGCCAAGTTACGTCTGGGCCAGACGCACCAACCTGGCGGGTATAGGGAACGAGCTCCTGAGGCTTCGGGAATGAACCCAATGGTGAGGGGACTCCGCGGACCCCGATCCCAAGCGCGGTCAGCTTTTGGCTTGTGGATACCAAATCGGGATGACTCATAGCCATCAAAACCCTTTGGTAGATGAAGGTTAAGGGACAATCCCAATGAATAGCTACGGCCGCCTTCTTAATTCTTTACAGGGTTCTGGGTAGACCATTTTAATTCTGGATTTTGATTGTGACTCATTTTGAGCCAAGGCTGCAAAAGCCGATTTTTTTGTGTTCAAGTCTTTGGGGGCAAGTGACAGGGTCATCATCTGGGCAGTTTATGTGCTCCGTGCACAGGTGCTGGTGATTTGGTCCGATTTTCTGGCTGTCAGGGCAGCTCCTTTGAGTCAAAGGGGAACCCCAATGAATTATGTTTCATTGCTTCTTGGTCTTCCCTTAAACCTACCCCCAAAAGTGCACTCTGCAAAATGGCACACCAACATGGGCTCACCAACTTTCTACCCTTGGTTGGTTTCCCGTGAAGCCAACTCCAAAAAATGCACCCGGAAAGTGACACACTCATGTCGTGTTTGTTGCGGAGCCAGGCCGACATCCTGGGAGACAGGCGCGTCCTGGAGGGATAGGTGCGGCTCCTAAAGGGGACCTTACGGAATCCTTGGATACATCTGCCATATGGGTGTGTCGCTTTTTGGGGATACCCTGTTTAGGTTGAATGAAAAGGGAAGCCAACACCAGCCATTTTGGGGTCCCCCAATTGTAAGAGACACCCACAGCAAGACCAACTTTTTTTCTCTGTTTCAGCAGGTTGCTTGCCTGTACCAGGGTGCTTTCGGGGTCTCCATTTCCCCCAAAGGAGATTCCTCTCAATGCGACCTTAGTTTTCTCCTTACTCCACAACAACTGAAAGCCTTTCTCTGGAATGCGGGGGTACTCTTGTTTGGGTCAAAATGAAGGGTCCCCATCCCCCCAAGGAGGGTTCCTCTCAAGGTCATGATTTTGTGTGTCCTCTTTTCTTGCCCGCTGGTGGGTTGGAGCTTTAACCTCTCCTTTCTTGGGGTTAGTGCGTGTCTTCCCACTGACACCAACAGAAAGCCACACTTTTTGGTGCCGAGAGTAGCACCAAGTTTCCCTCAAGTCCCAAGACCGTATTATTTCTTAGGTTTTCAGGGGGTCACAGGACCTCATACTGTGGATGGACGAAATCCTGCACCACCTAAGAAAGGAATGATGATTTCTCTGTAAATATCAACCAACAATGGTTTCCCATGGTTTCCATGGTGCGAACGGATTTCGTCCATCCACAGGGGTCTTGGGCTCGGGAACCGCCAAGTGTCGTCCAGGATCGCCATCCTCCACGAGGGCAGGCTGAGGTGCTGCGGGTCTCCTCAGTTCCTGAAGCGCGCCTACGACTGCGGCCGGGGGGCTCAGCGGCGAAGCGGCACCCTGCGGGCCCCGGACCCCGGACCAGCATAGGGGTCCTTTTTGGTTGGTTTGTTGAGAAAATAGAGGGCGATTCCTGGTTTACCTGGTGGTTCGATGATCTACCAGGGTTATTCATTTTTCAAAGAAGGACACCTGTGCACTCTGGGGTTGTGGGATCACTCGCGGTTGATCCAACCACTGTGATACAAGAGACTCCACTCTTTACATGGGGGATTAGTCTTTGGGAGGCCCTTTTGGTTGTATCACAGAAGTGGATTCCATTTCCCACAGCCCTGACCCACTCGGAGGTCGTTGTGAGTATTTCAAAGGTAGCCTGTTCACCTTCAGCTTAGTTTCAGCGGGAAACCTCAAGAACAACTAGTTGTTGGGCACCCATTGCCCAGTTGGGTGGGTGGAGGGTTCGGGGCAACGTCAGGTATTGTTTGCCGTTTTGTTATGGCAAGCTCCCTGATTCGGGGGTTGAAAATGAACGACATCCATGACGCGGGCCCTTTTTCAGCATACCTTATTGCCGATTTAACTTTATTGAGCAAACTGCAGAATAGTGGGGTGGGCGCACTCGTCCCCTCGTCTTTCACACGACATCATCCTGTACAATCAGTGGGATTGAATGGAGCGTTTGGCATTTGACTTAGCCCTTCTGCTCAGATAATGATGATAGAGACAATGACCCTTCCTCCCACTGGTATTCGGCACCTGTGGGAGGGTACCTGGAAGATCAGCCTGTGAGGTGCCATGTCGGGAGGGAGGGTGACATGATTTGCAGCATTGTCCCCGAATTTCTGGGAATCTTCGAGAAAGTCCCGAAGTCCCGCGTGAGGTCTCGAGCGATTTTCATCAACTCCAGTCCACCTCTTTTTGCACCAATGTCTGGGCAACTGGTTGTTCTGCAATCGACACTCAACGCTATCATTTGGGAGTGTGGTCAGTGTCCCCAACCGCTGGCTGTCATTTACTGCTTCAGAGCGGGGGGATGGCTCCCAACGTGGCAAGCGGTTCTAGGACCGAGGGCCCTATGCTTCCCTCAGGCTCAGAATCAGGATGGGAAGGGGTGAACGAGACCAACCCGTCTGTATCCTCCAAGGTGCTCGATTTTCCTCCTCAGGGTGTGTTATTTTCAAGGTCAAAAGAAAGGGGCCATTTTGCTCATGATTCATGGAAATCCACTGGAGGCCTGGGCATGTAACTCAGAAGTACCGAAGAGCTCGCCCCCCCGGAATTGGACTTCGAACTTGAAACCATTTGAGCGGCAAACCAGCAGTGTGGGCTTCTTTTTGCCAATGCACTCGATCGGAAGTGGGAAATACTTCCAAACAAACTTTGGTACAAACTTTTGGTGGCACATCGACCAGAACCCAGCCCTCCACAACATACTTTGTATTGGGCCACAGGTTGTTGGCCAATGTCTCCAGGCAATGCGTAAATCCCGGGGACCGAACAAGTCCCACGTTAAATCGACGACTGCTCGAGGTTACAACATCACCTTCGTGAAGAAGCCTGGGTGCAACACCGAGGCAGTGCGCGAGGCTGGGAAATCGAAGCTGGGAATGCTTCGGGTTCCAGCTTGGGTTTGTTGGTTGAGAGGCTTCCTGTGATATCCACGAAATCCCCTTCAAAGCGATGAAGTAGTGAGACTGACCTCCATGTGGGTAAAACCAGAAGGTGTGATTCCCACGACCGTGGAGTGATTTCAAATGACTTCTTCCCCACAAGCCATCATTCATAGAAACCAACAGGAAAGCAACCTAACTCCGCAACACCCACGAAATGCCACATTCTGTCGAATTTTCTGTAGCTGGTTTCTGCAGAGAAAGAGTTGTCCTCTTTTGGCGAGTATCCTTGGGGCGGTTTTGAAGCCAAAGGGAAACCGGACATCAGCCGCGTCTACCTTGGGGTTTTGCCCAAGTGGATAGCGAGCGAAGGAAGAACGGGCATTTGGCGTGAACAGACCCCGATTTGGAAGCGTACTTTCATTTTGGAAGGAACGCCTGTGCACTTCATGGTGTCATTTTGGAAGGAACGCCTGTGCACTTCATGGTGTCATTTTGGAAGGAACGTCTGTTCACTTCATGGTGTCATTTTGGAAGGAACGCCTGTGCACTTCATGGTGTCATGTTGGAAGGAACGCCTGTGCACTTCAAGGTGTCATTTTGGAAGGAACGCCTGTGAACTTTATGTTTGTTGGCGGAAGGGTATTCGGATATGCGGTCATATGCAGAGTATATTATATGTATACACACATGCAGAATGGGTTTCTCAACAAGGGTGCCTTTTGTTTGGTGGGTGAAAAGAGAATCAACGCAAAAGCCTCCATGTTAGGGTTTCTTTGTGAGAAATGAACCAAGTCCAGCTACAGGCTACCAGGGTTTTGCCTGGCGCCTGATGCGCCAGCAGCATTTTTTTCTGGATGCAGGCGGTGTGTCGGCATGTGCCGGAGTTCACGTCTGAAGTGACGGTGCTGTCCAACAGTGGCAAGGATCGAGTCGCCGCATTTTGCGGGGGGGGGGGGATTGGGGGGGGGTGTTTGGCACCCCGAAAGGACTCCCGTTGTAAAATGGCCATGGGTCAAAATTTGGTAGCCCCAGTGAACATCCCAATCCCCACTAAAATTTCGACTAAAATGGGTGGTGCACCTACCCCCAAATGGTTTTGACCCACAGCCAACTGGGCCCCGCAACCAGTGGATGGCTCTAGAACCCCACCCACCATGAGGGAGGTTGTCCAGCACAGTCGGTAGGTGATTCATCCCATAACAAGGAGTCGAACACTGGCGCAGGATTTTGAAACCGTCCCAAAGTTTGATTCAGTTTTCCCGAAATGGAAACCAAAAGAAGATGGATGGCTTAGTTTGTGACCTCCGCCCTCGCCAGACCTCCGTTAGCCCCGACCATCAAATGGTTTGTGGAGAGACCTTCTGAAGGGCGGCTACAGCGCGGGAGCAACTTGTTGGCAGCTTGAACCCCCTTGAGGAACCCCCCTCCAATCAAAACTTTTTGGGCAGGGGAGGTGGGGGGGGGGGGGGGGGGGGCGGGAACCCCGTTCACCAAGCCAGTACCAAAAATCTGAATTAAGGCCGGGCTTCATCATTGGATTTCTTTTTTTGATTGGACCACATCCCGCGACAGTCGGGATGCATGACAGCCTGAGAATGCTGGGGCTCGAAGCGGATTTGGTCCATTCCGAGTACCTGTCAGAAGCCCCACGCCCAAACCTCCAGTGGACTGGGAGGAAATGGAATTAATTTGGGAGTGCGACTTGTTGAGCCGGGTACCCTTTTTGGCGTTGGTGAGAAGGAAACCAAAAATCAGGGGAAGCCCTTTCTGGTGGAGGGAAATGAGGGAAGCCAAACAGACAACCCCGCCACTTCCTCCCCCCCTTTTCCGGGGTACCATATCCCTCGTCTTGACGAGCCAGACCCATTCAGTTCGCCCCCTTTCTCAGGACCGGTAGGCCCAACCTAGCTCCCAATCAGTTGAGTCAACCCTCCCCCCCCAAGTGCCTTGTCTGGCCGGTCAGGGCAGGTCAGCTCTGTGCTGAGAACCTCCCCTCTTTTTTTCAATCGCCCAACGCAAGAGAAAAGAAACACGTGGCCTCTCTTGGACCTTTCCAAAGAAAGCCGCCGACTCGCGATCCTCCGCGCGCGGGTCAGGAGCTGATTTTGCAGTTCCCCTTCAGCGCTGCGCGGCACTTTCCGCAGGCGACCGGGGATCCTCTAGGGAATTCAGTCCGGGGTCATGCCCTCCTTCCCTGAAGTTCCAAAGAGGAATTCAGGGGAACGTATTCCTTTGTTGAGTATCTTTCCCACTAGTTTTTTTTTGTTTTTGCCTCTTCCCATATGGAACAGAGAACCCAACCCGAAGGGAACCCAGGAGGCAATCAGCCGTCCCAGATGGCCAATTCCCAAGGACGGAACATGTGTGAATTGCTTTCTTTCGATTTTCTCTCAGAGGCCAAGTTGCCAGCGTTGTTCTAGAGTCACCCGACGTCCAAAGGGTGCTGGAAGGTGATCTTTGGAGCTGTGGGTCTTTTTGAACATGGGTGTTCAAACCCCAACATGCAGCATCCATTTGCTTAAGAAAAAACATATTTTCCCTTGCTCGTTTTAAAGGGAATCTGTCACTACTGGATATTTTTTTTCCAGCGGACTTAAGCAAATGGAGGGCAGGGTGTCCAACGTGATAACTGGTAGAGAGGACCTGTCAACAATCTGGGGGTCAGATTGGCCTTTCCCAGGTTTAGTACTGGCTTAGTACTGCTAAGTATTGGTTTAGTGTTGGTTTAGTCTTGCGTTGCGCTGCTTTAGCACTGGCTTGGTATTGGTTAGTGTATGTTAGTGTTGGTTTAGTATTGGTTTAGTATTGGTTGAGTATTGGTTTAGTATTGGTTTAGTATTGGTTTAGTATTGGTTCGCGTTGCTTTAGCACTGGCTTAGTATTGGTTAGTATCGGTTTCGGGTTGGTTTAGTATTTTTGCACTGGCTTAGTACTGCATAGTCTTGGTTCAGCATTGGTTTAGTGTTGCTTTGCTGCTTTAGCACTGGCTTGGTATTGGTTAGTATTGGCTCAGTATTGCTTCCGTTGTCTTCGGTCCTTTTCGGTCCTCCTCGGGCCTCTGCCTAGCACTGTTTTTTCTATTGTTCGACTATTCCTTTGAGCTGGCCCAGTGCTGTTTTTGGATTGGTTTAGAATTGGTTTATGGCTCTGTGTATTGTTGGTTTAGTATTGGTTTAGTATTGGCTTGGCTTTGTGATGGCTTAGTACGGGCTTTGCCCTCAGCTGAGCATTGGCTTGTGTATAGTACTTGCTTGTGGGGTGGCCATGGACATTTGTGGCCCGAGCACTTTTGGACCGGAGATGTAATGGAATCTGCGGTGTCGGTGAGGGGTGTTGCTCGCATCTTCGGACTTTCTCAGTACTCAGAAGCAAGAACTAGTGGAGGAGAAGAGATGGATAATTGCTATAGGGCAGGGGTGGAGAGACGGTTGCGCAATTGGGTACCCCTTTTTCATTTTTCTACAATTGAGTGGTTGGCCATTTTATCCAAAAGAGTGGTTGGCCATGTACTACCCCCTTGGAAACTTGTCGGCTGAGCACTGCTGTATAAAGGAGGTGTAAGCAAACCAGGTACCGATTTTTTCTTTTTGGGGGTAGAGAACACTTTCTGGAAAACGTTATTGTATTTGGTAATGTTTGGGTGCAGCAGCCCGCTCCGAAATCTGCTCCGAACCACAGAGACTCAGGCAGAGCCCCGAAGCTTTCAGCTGGGAAGAGGCCAGGTCAAACCATGTCAACAAAAAGACCATGTCAACATGAGGCAAAGCATGTGTTCTTTCTCACCCCAAAAACAAAAAACACAAAGAAACCCAGCGAAGACCGAGTCTGGGTGCTCCGCCTCGCAGGTGCTGAGTAGCCTCGAGCAGCACTTGTTGGATCTCAAGCTCGAGCGCTGAGCTAAGCGATGGTCAGCACCGGGTGGCCGGTTTGGTAATGCATGACCTTACTGTGGGTTGCCAAATCCACCTAAGGCACCACCTAAGACTGGAATGAGTCGATTCCCCCTGTAAATACCAACACATCATGGCTTGCCGTGGTTCAACAACTTGGCGCGAACGGCTTTCGGCCATCAGTATGTTTTTCTTGTGGAAGGTCAGCTTCTGGGCTGAAGGTGAGCCGTGCGTGTGAATAGCCCCGGAATGTCGAGTCAGCAGAGTCAGGTAGGTGAAGGGTTCCAGGGGGCTCACCTGAGAAGCTGCGGGTGAACGTTTCAACTTCCATTTGCTTACGAATATTTATTTTATTTTCCCTTGGGTTTAAAAGGAATTTATCACTACTGGACACATTTTGAGTTTTTTCCAGGGGTCTTAACCAAGTGGAAGTCAAGTAATCCAAACGCTCATCTTAGTGGCGACACGTATGGCAGCAAGGCCATCCCCCAAGAACTTTGCCACCCGCTAGGGGGTGCCTTCAAGAGAGAATTGATCTTCCAGCTACCCCTCCCGCAAGTGCTATGTTTGTGAGAAGACGAAGGCGATGAGAGATCTAGCGGGCGGCTTTTCAGCGATGAAGGATGAAGTCAGCTCCAGATTTCTTTGTGGACAGGGAGGTGATGGTATCCCACCCGAGTCAGAGGGCAAGCCAGCCAACGCCATCGGGATTCCTGTTCTGACCAGAAAGTCGGACCCGCTTGATATTATCCCCAGTGGGGTTGGTCACTGGGGGAAGCCATATAATGTTAACCCCGGATTAATAAACCCCTGGTTGTTTAATAGGGGGGGTGTCCCCTTTTAGTGGGGATTCAGACCACTTTTGGAAGGAACATTCCCCCCCTAATGGGACGGGCTCTACTTAGATCCTGGGTCAACAAATTATTCAGCTAATAGGTCCATCTGCGTCCGACTTCCTGGGTCCACGGCTTGCCCGTTAGACTTCACCCAGTCGAGGACTTTTAGGGGATCAGAGAAGTCGAGGACCCTTCCTGCCGATTTTCAATTCGTCCGATTGAGGTGATGCCCTTGGCCAAATCCCTGGTTTGATCGTTCTCGATTTTTCCACAGCCCCTAGCAAAACCCCCACAGTGCTGCAAGGGCGGGGGGGGGGGGGGGTGGGAGTTTTTGTTTGTGTCCTTTGAGGGACACATCCGTTGTTCTTGTTTTGTTTGTTGGGTTTTGGGTGGGCGGGTTGGACCGGGAGTTTTGGGGCGGGTGGGGGCTCGACTTGCATGTGGGAAAATTCGGTGCCCTGGGTCTGCGAGGTCCTACGGCATCTCCGTGACCACCTTGGAGGAGGTCTTCCTCAAAGTTGCCTCTGGGGAGGCACCACGGCCGGAGAGGCGGGTTTTGGCAGGGGAAAGGGTTGGTTTTGGCCGGGGGCGGGGGCTCGCGAGGAGCTGAGAAATGGGTTGCCTCCTGTATTTTTTTTGGCGGGGGGAAGGGGCAAAAGTGATGCCTCCTGGTCAACCCTGTAAGCCAACCCAAGGAAAACTTACCAGGTATCCGGCCTGCCTGGTATGCGAGTGCGTGGCGTGAATGGAAGATGTGGCCTGACTTGTTTTCACGTGACGCGTGAACAAGATGTAGCCAGGTGTGCCTGGAGTTTCCCGCGGGGATGCCGAAGATCGTTTCGTCATGATGCTCGTTTTCCCCGGATGTCTCCAGTTACCACCTGATGGCTTGAGTGACATCTGTGCGCAGGCTGTTGATCCAGACCTCCAGTGCCCGTTTCATTCGGAGGCTTCCCTAAGTCAACTTGGGGCCCCAGACCAAGGACCTCAAAGTCTCTTTTTTTTTTGGGGGGGTCTAAGAATCGGGAAATGGCGACCTAGGAGGGAGGAGAGGGGGGATGACCTCTTGCAGAAGGCTCTCTTTTTGGAGGGTTTGTTATTTCAGAGGTTTGGTCAATGTACCAGTCTATGGTACAGTTTCCCACGCAAAACAGGGGACACGAGATGTTTTACTTGTCCCCTTGGGAGAACAAGTAAGTTTGACTGGCTCAGATGGTATATGCTAAGAACTTGTGCTGGTGCTCTGAAGTGGCAGGAGTTTCCACTGCTTGGCTTCGCAGTTACAAGTTCTTTGCCCTCTTGAAACTTGCGGCCTGGATTCCTTCCTGGGACGGTTTGCACGTGCCCGGGGTGAAGGTTCCAACCATGGATGCCCCCCAGAGATTCAATCCTGTACGCAAAATGTGGCCTAAGCCAAAGCTAGCTTGAGGGTGATGGAGAAAATGGAGATCCGACTGTACAGCCAAGCCACGCTTGAGATGGGAAGCTGTGGCCATCCCGACGTGTTTGGCTGGTGTTAGGAAGCCAAAAGGACACCCACCGCGTTGTTCTTACAACTCCATATCCCCAGACAAGTCAGGAGCCTTCCCATGTTGACACGAACGCACAAGTCATTTTTCCGGGATGTGACTTCATGGACCCAGTCTTAGACCCAGCGAAAAGCGAGGAGTGGTGACGCCAGGACAAAGCCGTCGGGTGGATCGCCCACTGGGATGCGACCTGGCGAGTTTTAGGGGTACCGCTTGGTGTGTGTTTTCCGGGTTTGAATTTTGGGTTTGTCTTTTTAGTGTTTTGTTTTTTGTCTCAACATGAACCCCGACATGGGTGGTTTCCCTGTGGCGTTCTTTCAATTCACCCCAAAAAGGGTGTCCTCAGAAAAGAAGCACGGCATGGTGGCCCAGTGATCGCATATCGCAAAAGGAACATTTTGCTGGTTACCAGCAGTGGTCACTGACCTTCCGCTTGGTCATCAACCCGTCTAAGATGATGGTGACGAGCAAATCAAAGGGAGAACTGTCTATGTGAGTCTTGAGATGGAGCGGAGAGATAACCCTAAGCCTTATGGGAACCAGGTCCATGCCCCACAAAAGGAGCTTTGACTTTGGCACATGTCGCAAAATGGTTGTCGCTTGGGTTTCCCTTTGAACCAAGCCCACAAACGGTTACCCTCAACCTGACTGACGTTCGGGTTCTGGATTTGGGCCATTTTCCTTTTTTAAGGTACCGGGTCCCGAACGTCCGGTTCCATGTGAAAAGGGTGGGACAGTATAAACAAACAGGGTTCGCACATGTTTGCACCTTGCTCTCTGCAGTTCTTGCTTTGAAGTTGTCACCCCCCCAAAGGTACAGTCCTTGCTTTGAGGGTACCTCAAAAACCATGGCCTCGTGAGCCACAGGCTTCTGTTCTACAGGAATCTCCCCATTTCAGCTCGAAGGAAAGAAAGCAAATGGGGAGGAACCCTCGAAAATACCGGGTCCCGAACGTCCAGTTCCATGTGAAAAGGGTGGGAGCGTACCTGAAAAATCGAGTTCCAGGTTGTTTACTGTGTGGATCTGGGATCCGGGCTGACGCCTCGAAAGGTACATCGAGCTGGGGGAGTTAGGCGGTGAGGCGAGGCATGGCCGTCGTCCTTTGGGCTTTCCGTTAAACCAACCCTCGAAAAATGACACACCCACAGACACACGCATGCACGCACATACGCACACGCGCAAACCGGGTTGTGAGTTGTTCTCTTGCAATGGTAAAACGCGGTGTTTGGACTTGCTGTTTGAGAGTGCTTTCCTTTGTGCCTCTGTATTTGGGGTTCACAGGGATGCTCACACCTAGTAGGAAGGATTATCAAGAACCATTATAATTTTAATGATTCCTCTTAGGAGATCCATGACCACAGGCCACATAAGGAGTCTTGACCATGACGCATATCTTAATCGTGTTTTTTCTGCTTGCTGTCCTGCTACACCTGCACAGGGCCGCAGCCATGTTATCTGCCTATTGTATGGCGAGTTCACCAGGTAAAGCGAGCTCGCAAGGAAAGTTCCTGGTGATTCCTGGTTTCGAGTTTTGGATTTGTTGCAACACAGTTTGCAGATGGTTGTGAGACATCTCCTTTGTTGCGGCCACTTCCCTTGGTGGCTCCCAGCCATCCGGTTCCTTAGCTTGTTAGCCTTTTAGTGTTTAGTGGTAGTTTCCATTTCACCCGCTAAAAGTTGAATTCACTTTTCGCGGGGGATCAGAAAACGAGGGTTGCGCCCACTTCCTGCGAGCAAAATGCTAACATCTGCAGCTTTGGGTATGGGCCAAAATTAAACCACCAGGGGACCACAGGTTTTAGTCATTGTTTCCATTTACCAGGGTGCCATTTTGGTTACCTATTTTTGACCCACAGACATTTGATCGGCTCAAGCTGCACTCGCTCAACTCGACTCCGCGCGTTCCGTCATGGACATGCTCAAGAAGCTCGACTCGGAGGCGGTGTCAGAGCTCTCCACAGAGGTCGCTGGGTGCAACATTTGCGGTGTGTGTGTGTGTGTGTTTGTTGAGGCTGCTCCTTTTGTTTATGGATTGTAAATTTAAACCGAAACCAAGAGGACAAAATAATCAAAGGAAGTTTATGGGCTAAAGCGTTAACCGTAGGTGGTCGCTTGTCTTGACTCTTAATAAGTATCCACTTGGGCCACCATTTTGGCTCAAGTGGACCTTTTGATCTTTGGTCGTGTGATTTGAAATCTTTCTTTCCCCTCTCTCAAAGCCATGTACGCCCCCGCCTACGCTGGTGCCGCGGTAGCAGAGGCTAAGGCTAAGGCAAAGGCCTCCATGGCAAAGTACCTGGCGAGCCTCGTGAAGAGGGAGGAAGAAGGATGGACCGTTTTGGCTGCCGAGGTCCCTCAGGCACCTGACGAGCGTTTCTTCTCCAGCGCAGATGAGTTGGAGCAGACCCCTCTTGTCCCGGCCAAGCGCAAGGCAGAGGATGAGCCGATGGAAGATGCAGCCCCTGGGGCGGCGCAGGTGCCGAAGGCCCTGACACGCCCCCCAGGGGCGTTCCTGGAGCTCCTGAACCCGCCGGAGGAGGACGTGCCCATGGAGGAGCTCCGGGCGCAGGACGAGAAGGAGCTGCCGATGCCCAGGTCCCCCTCGGCTGCAGCCCGCTTGGAAGAGACCCGCCTGGATGCCCGGGCAGACGCCAAGTGGCAGAGGCGCCGGGAGCTGATGGCGAAGGTCAAGGAGCAGGCGTCCTCGGAGGAGGATGAGAACCCCGCAGCCCCCCCGCCGGGGGGGAGCGTGTTCACCAAGGCCCTCAAGGTCTCGGAGGGCCTCTACCAGTTCAGCGACGACCAGATGGCGGGCAACTTCCCTTGCTTCGATGCGACCACGGCCAATAGGCTCCGCCGACTGCAGGCCAGGGACGTCCAGCGGCTCCTGCGAGGCTTTGAGGGCCCCCAACTCAAGCAGGGGGGCCTGGAGCGCGTTGTGGAGGCCTTCTACATCGCCAAGATGAAGTACGAGCATGAGGCCCGGCTCAGCACCCCGGGACAGCAGGTGGGCAAGCGCGCTGGCTTGGGGTACGGGGGCCTGGAGAACCGCCCCCTGGGCAAGGTGCCCACATCCTGGATCTGCCCCTGCTGCACCATGCCCTGGGTGAAGAAGGGCGCCACGAAGTGCATGGGGTGCGGCAAGAAGACGGAGCCCATTGACATGGCGACCAACTCGGCCACCCTGGAGATGGCGGGCACGCATTGGCAGTTGACGGTGGATGACCAGGGCAATGCGGTCTGGACGGCGGCCCGGTCCGCAGGTGCCGAAGGCCCTGACACGGACCGGGCCCGCGACCTCAAGCTCAGTGCCTCGGTGGACGTCAGCGAGCTGGCCACCGACCCGATGGCCTGCGAGAACCCGGACCAGGCCAGCTTCTCGGACTTCGTCCCCTCCTCGGTCCGGGCGGTGATCAGGAACTGCCCCATGGAGCTGGACGAGGAGTTTCTGACGGCCCCACCGGGGGAGAGGCCCCCATTGCCAGGCGACAAGGAAGAGGGCCAGGAATGCAGAGCCTTCCACCCGTCTGCGGTGAAGGCCTTCAAGATTCAGACCCGGCTCAACGCCACCACCATCGCCCAGGAGGAGGCCAAGAAGGCGGACCAGGTGGAAGCGGTGGAGCGCTCCGCGGCGGTCCTCCACGAACTTCAAGGGGGGGCCATTGACGGAGGAGGTGATGGAGGTCTGCTCCTGAAGAACCTGGACTTGGACCTCTTCCGTGAGAAGCTGCTGGACAAGCTGGGTGCGGACTGGGGGAGACCCACACCGGAGCTCCTCCAGGCCCAGACCACCGCGGAGGAGGCGAAAGCGAAACACCAAGCCAGACAGGCGAAGGGCGCCCTCGAAACCAGGATGCTAGCGCCCATCGCGCCTCCCTTCAGTGCGTGGCCCAGTGAGGTCCGGGTCGCCATTGAGACTGGGGTCTTCGAGCCGACAACGGCATGGAGGGACTTCAGTATGGACGACCTCACATCGCTCACGGACTCCTACCTTGAGGCCAAGGCGGTCATCTCGCTGGGTAGGAATCCCTTCCCGGCGGCCCTCCTGTCAGATCTGCCGGACCTGGCAGGGATCCCCATGCCAAAGGCGGGGTCTGGTGCGGCGCGCCCAGGTGCCGAGGGCCCTGACAGGCCGCCCACCATCTCCTCAGCCTCGGGCTCTGGCGTGACGAGCTCAGGTGCCGAGGGCCCTGACAAGCCGTCCGCCACCCCGGTGGGGGGACACCAAGGACCCGGAGGTGCAGCTCGCGGTCCTGCGCTGGATGATGAGCAAACGGGTCGGAGAGGTCCGTATCTTTGCGGGCCGCTGGGTCCGACGACCGGGCCCGGTACACGTCCCGGATTGGGCGGAAAACCTCACCAAGGTGAATCCGGAGGCGTTGGAGAAGGGTACGCATCCCAGGAACCACCAGGTGGGTGGACTCCCCTGGGCCAGGTACTCCGTGGATGAGTTGAACCAGCAGGCGAAGGCGGGGGACCGACCCTACCCTGGGGACCTGCGATCCATCTTTTGGGCTGCCCCCCACGATCCGGATGAGGATTGAGTCTGGGAGTCTCTGCCTCTGCTGCAGGGCCCTAGGCAGCGGGGCCCAAGAAACAAGGCCCAGAATCAGACCCGCCTGGAGGGCTGGGAGACCCTGAAGGAGGACGCGCGGTGCTTCCTGAAGGAGGAGGGCCTTCCGTTTCCGCAGACAGGACCGGAGTGGCGATTGGTCTACCGGGCCATGGGCAAGGTCCTCGCGGCCCGGGCCTTCCTCACGGACACCCCGGCGGAGGTGATGCAGCTCCCGGTCCAGGACGTGGCGGACTCCAAGGAGCAGATGATCCTGCGGGCGGTATGCGACGAGCGCATCTCGGTCCCGGTGGAGAGCCTCCAGCAGTTCCCAGAGGTGTACAAGGCCCTCATGGACCGCATTGGAGGCCCGGGGGCCCTGGCGGAGGTGAAGGTCAACTGGCGCTGCAACACGAAGCAGTGGTGGGTCGGCGCAGTCCCCGACTCAGTGGCCCCCTCCATCTACCGCAAGCTCGGCTACACCAACGACATGATCAAGCTGATGGGCCTGGACCCCTCCGCCCCTGGGTGCCGGACAGGTGCCGATGGCCCTGACATCCGCCCCAGGGGAGGCGAGGGCGATGAGGGGATCGTTTACCCCCCCATCACGGCGGACAACGTCCACGGCGTGGTGGGTAAGGACTACCGGAAGAAGAACTATCCGGTGGAGATGAAGCATGTCTTCTGGGCGCACATGGAGTGTGGCCTGGTCCTGAGCTCCGTCACCCCGTGGGAACTCATCCCGAAGACAAAAGGGGAGACCCGGGGGGGCTACATGTGCAAGTATTGTAAGGGGTACTGGCGTGCCGGGGGAGGGGGCACCCGCCTCCTCCAGATCCGGGCCGGCAAGGCCATCTTGCAGCTGGTGTTGGACGAGCCGCCGGAGGGCCTCTACAACCGCTGGGTGAAGGAGCGGCTGGAGTACTACCGCCGGGTGGAGCCCTCGGCCCCGTTGCGGGACGTCTCCATCGTGGACCAGAAGGTGCCTAGATTCAGATTCAGCCAGGCCACCCAGACAGGCCACGTCTCCAATGCCATCTGGGAGCTGATTCTGCGGAATCCGGAGGCTGCTGCGCTCAAGCGCATAGATGACATCGCGAAGAGGGCCGCGTGATGATGCGGGACAACGCCATCTTCCGGCACATCATCCCGAACCGCGGCCATCCGGAACGGATGCGCAGCGCACCCTGGGGGTGGGACAGCTGCCGAAGGCGCTGATATCCCCCCCCCAGGGAACAGCGCAGGCCCAGACCTGCACCAGGCGAGGAAAATTGGCGCGGCTTGGGCTAATCCGGGGTGCGCCTGGTTCCCCTCTCTTGTTTGGTTTTCCCTTTTCGGGGCGGCTCCCTGGGTCCCCCCTTTTTCCCCCGTTCCCTCCGTTTCGGGGTTGACTTTGTGGGGGTTTGGGGGGCCCCCCCCCCTGTTGTTTTGTTGGGGTTGGCACCTAGGGACTAAGCCCCCGGCTCGAGTGGATCATGATGATGTGGAGGCCCCGCCTCCCTTCCCCGTTTGGGACGACCTTCCTAGGG